CTCTTCCCTATCACATTTTACAATAATTAGTAAGAAACTAGGCCACTTTCAACACTTTTGATTAGAAACCTCAACTAGATGTCCATAAAAAGACTTCTACATGAATATTTGCAGATTTATTTTTAATATTTAGAATCTGGAAAAAAAATGTTGATAAATGGATAAATTGTGGTACATACAGACTACCCAGCTTTATAATGAGCTATTTGTACACACAATAGATGACTCTCAAAATAATTATGTGAAAGACGACAAAAATAAGCTTTTAAGGTTCCACTTAAAATTTTAGAAGAGGCAAGTTTATGTATATCAAAAGTAAATCAATGATTGCCTAAGATGGGAAGTATTTGGAAGAACATTGAGAGATTATGAAGGGGCATGAGGTAATTCTGGGGGTGATAGATATGTCCAGTATCATGGCTTGGGTGGTTTCATGTGTACACACATGCTAAGGCTTAACGAATGTGTGGCATATTGCATGTTGACTATACCTCAATGAAACTATGACGACTGTACCTAAATGTCTGGGTCTCCTACTTCTATTGGAAAACCAGATTTGGGCATCAGTATACTGACTCTACTACTTCACTCCTAATGCCATGTGAAAAACTCTTCCAGAGTAGCAAGAAAGACTGGAAAGGAATGAAGGCTATTGCCCTGAGTCACCAGGAACTGGCTAGTCACAAAAATCTACATCCTTGGACCATAGTTATCTCTTGTCAGTCCTGGGGCACTTGCCCATGCAGCAGAGACAACAGGTAAAGAGCCCAGAGAGGAACAGGAATCAAGGAAAACTACATTCTTTGTTGTGACACTGACCTGGGTCATATGATAGCCCTGGAGAATCTATTTTCCATACACCTAGATCTCATATAGCCCCAGAGGCTGGAATGTTTATGAATATGTTTTCACAATGGCACAATCACTCTCATTTGTTGTAGTCTTTCCAATCCCTATTATTCACACCTAGAGTTTCTGTATTACTCTTGTCCTTCCTTGACACAGTAGGTCTTACAGCCAGTGAGTTGTGTACTAGATTCTGGCCTTTGGGGCATGTGGAATTCATCACCCCTCAACAGTGCTGGAGAATACGGGACATATGCTGGGAACAAGATAATTCATGTTGTTCCCAAACACAATATAGATCATTACAATAGCACCCTCTTCAAGGTGACATCTGGACCTTCAAATAACTGAAATAGACAAAGTTGGCCCCACCAAGCCCTGAAATCTAACCCAAGATGCTTTTGTCAGCAATGGAAATGAACACCAAAGTTGGACTGAGAATTGTTCTCTGCCAACTTACTGTTCATTTGAGGCATGCAGAGTTGGAGTCCCCCACAAAGTTTACCTCTTTAGTTTGGCAGGTCCTAGTTGTTTTCAAAAAATTTCAAACAGTAAAAAGAACCAAAGAATCTCCAAGATTAAAGATGGCATAAATAACATCTTTATTATCACACATACCAGAGCAACATTAGGCAAGTCTAGGCTTGGTAACTTGGAGGCTGGAAAAATCTGTCACAACTATCACGAGACGAACAATAGCCATGAAGAAAGCAAACCTTTTTTTTTTTTTTGGCTACCAGAACACAACTTGGGTCATGTCCACACCTTTACCAGTCAGTGGGGAGGGAATGAGGACCCCCCATTTAACTGTTTATTAGAATTTCCTCCAAGAATTGAAAAAAGAATACAAAGTTCTGCCTTCTCTGAGGATATTAGGGCGACTAAGCTCGTAGAGTTGAGATGGTTTCAGCCATAGGTATTGACACAAATCAGGCAAGGAACCTGAGCACGTCTGACAGTGCAATACAGCCCCTGAAAGCTTCTCCTGTACCCGGCATTCATAAGGTACCTCCCCAATGTTAATGTTTAGGTATACAAAGTTCAACATCTGATTGATGTCTCCCTCTCAAAGGGTAATCACCAAGCTCCTGTTGTGTTGAAAGCACTCCTAAAGCCTTCCTGCAGTGTGAACTTTCTGGTGCCGAATGAGGTGGGAGCTTAAGCTATAGGCTTTCCCACATTCATTACACTCATATGGCCTTTCTCCAGTGTGAACCTTTTGGTGCCGAACAAGGTGGGAGGTTCTGATGAAATCTTTCCCACATTTGCTGCACACAAAAGGCCTTTCACCTGTGTGAACTCTCTGGTGTGCAAGAAAGTCAGAGCTTCGACTAAAGAATTTCCCACATTCAATGCACTCAAAAGGCCTTGCCTCAGTGTGAATTCTCTGGTGTTTAAAGAGGGTATATTTGTGGCCAAAGGATTTCCCACATTCACTGCAAACGTAAGGATTTTCTCCAGTGTGGATGCTCTCGTGCTGAACAAGTGTGGATTTGTGTCTGAAGACTTTCCCACAATCGTTGCACTTATAAGGCCTTGCTCCATTGTGAACTCTCTGGTGTACAATTAGATTGGAGTGATGGCTAAAGTATTTTCCACATTCACCACACTTATAAGGCATTTCTCCAGTGTGAATTCTTTTGTGTTGAGTAAGGTTATCCTTACGGCTAAAGGATTTCCCACACTCGCTGCACTCATAAGGCCTCTCTCCAGTGTGGATTCTCTGGTGCTGCACAAGTGTGGCTTTGCGGCTGAAAGCTTTCCCACACTCGCTGCACTCATAAGGCCTCTCTCCAGTGTGGATTCTCTGATGCTGCACAAGTGTGTCTTTGCGGCTGAAGGCCTTCCCACATTCACTGCAGTTGTAATGCATCTGTCCGATGTGAAAGGCCTCCACACTCTCAATGCTCCTTGTCTTCCTCCTGCTGTGGGTGGCCTTTTGCTGGTGACTACCCAAACCTGTCTGGAAGTTATTTTGCTCCTCTTCACATATAAAAGGCTTCTCTGACAGATGAGGTTCTTCACGAACTCTACAGTTCTTTATAAGTGAGGTTTTGCCTTTGTCTCTTCTTAAGAGTTTTTCTGCATTGTACTGCTTCTGGTGCTGGTGAAAGTTTGTACAGAAAAAGAATTGTCTTCCACATGCCTCACATGTATAAGGTTTTAGTCCATGATGTGTTTCCTGATGTTCATCTGGGTGCAAAATACCTTTCAAGATGGGGCCACATATGTCACAAGAGTGAGCCATCTGAATTGATGAACCTGCTTTGCAGTATGACCATGTGATACTTCTACAGAAATGCTCTGCTCAGGTGCCTCCTCATCCTCCACTCCACACCAACAACCTGAAGACAGAAAAATGCTACTGAAATGTACGTTGACTTCTGGTGAGAGAGGCAACCCTATCACGAATGTGTGTCTAACCCACCCAAGACTGAATCCATGGGGTTAGTGGCAGGATGACAGACTTGTGGTCAGGTTAATGAAAAGAGCAGCCATGACCTACTAGGCTCTAAGGGTCACAGAATGAGGAAGGCCTCATGGGGGATGTAGCTCAGGAAGAAGACGCAGGCAGGATCTCCAACTTACTCCTTGCAAATGACTTTTAAAAGAGCCTTGGCTATTGTTAACAAGTGAGTGCTACATAAAAAAATCTATGTCCAGGCCCAGAAAAATCCAATTTAAAATTAGCAGGTACTGAAGAACTATTTAAGGATATACGTATGTCTCACAATACATTAGCATCATCCAATATAGGAAAGCACTGTTGAGGGAGGAGTAGAGAGCACTGGTGAGTGGAATGGACAGCCCTGGGGGTCAGAGGTCAGAATAGAAATGACTAGTGTGTAAGGTGTCCAGAACAAGGAGGAAGAAATAGAAATAAGTTATGGCCTATAGCCTAAGCACCAAACAGTAGTGGGCATGGGGCAGGTTTCTGGTGCTATCTGAACCCAGTCTTGAAGTCACTCTCCGCAAGCTCTTACTAGGGCCTGTCTGAGTCCCTCCAGCTGTGGCTAGTCATGACCTCTTGGTCAGGCGCTCAGAGTCCTTTCCCCTGCTATAGTTCAGCAACCACAGAGCATCTGGAAAATACCAGTCAGAGGAAAGATGGCAAGTGAGTCAGTTCTGCCCCAAGGAGCGATTAAAAGAAAAACATTACAAAATGAGCATCAGAAATGTCTTGCAGGAACAACCCAATGAGTCCCACAAGCAATGACCATAATTGTAATTCATTACACAGGTTGGCCGAAGAAAATATCAATTAAAGGAAAGGGGCAGAATCTGGGTGTCACAGGGGTGTCACACTGAATGTAGTGAACAGAGCCATCCAGCCAGGGAGAGGCAAAGCAGGGCAGTATCCATAGGCCGACCACAAGACTCCTTACCCCAAAACCCTTCCTAGCAGAGGTTTTGGGCAGAGGAAATGGAGTGGAGGAAACAGTACACACAACTGAGCCCTGGCACCCAGAGAACATATGTGAAGGAAAAAAAAAACAGCACTGCCCATGTCCAGTTATGAGAAGGAAATGGCAGCCTCTGGGGGAAAAAAGAAAGCTGAGCACAGCCCAGAAAACTGGAATACATGGGGCCTTACCCAGGATGGCTGTAAATGCAAAACACAGAAAGCACTGCATTGTGATCTAAGAGTCTCTGAGCCTTATCAAGTAGGCTGCACTCCTTCAAGGAGAAAAACACAAACATATCCTCAAAAGTTACATGACATGCATTAAGAAGACGGCTAAGCACAGAGGCTGCCTCTCTCCCCAGAACTCCTGGTCTAGTCACCATATACTTACTTTTCTCCCCAACTCCACAGCTCAGACAAGATACCAGGCCCTTTGTGACTGGTGCATACTCTTTTCATTTTCCATTCATTTTGTCCAGCCCAGAACAACAGGCAGGTGGACAGGTAGCCAGACATTAGAGTTGGGGCCTGGCATGCAGGGCCCAATCCTTCTCCTGTCAGCTAGTCTCCCTGGAGTCCAGAAATTATGCCTCTCATACACAAATTTGAGGTCAGCACTCTCCTTAAAGCCCTCAATACCAGAGCCATCAGACCATGAGTTAAGATTCTATCTCCACATATGTATCACTCTTTAGACCACGGCTCCCTCTTATCTATGGATACCCACAACACAAGCACCTCCCACATGCAAATCTGCACACGGCATCTAGAGAATGCTTGGTTAATGCATCCAGGATCACATGTGGCCCCAGCTGATGGCCCCACTGCCATAGGTATCTCTGAACCCAGCTTTTAAATCCTCTCTTCCTTGACTCAACTTCAGCAATCCAGAACCACATACAGGTATTAGATAAACCCAGCCTTTTTCCACTGCGCTATTGCACATTGAGGACACTATAGCCTCATCAGTCATAGGCTTAACACCAAACTCTCATTCAAAGCCCACATCCACCGGCCTTTTATTGTGACTCTGCCAAATGACCCAACTGTCCCTGAGCTAATATACGAGCTTGACTGAAACTCCCCACATCACACCAAAGGTCACCACAAAAGCCTAGAAAGCACGAAGAAGAAAATAAGCACCAGCTTTGGCCTCGCTTTCATCTCATCTCTATTACTGCTACACCCCAGCAGCCATTTCATATCCACTCTCTCCCTAGAAGACTTTGCCTGCTAGATCCTATTCTTCTCTGCCAACCAGACACCAACTTCCCTTTTCTTGCCTTTCAGGTAACTTTTACTCCCACTCTGCTATGTCTCACTCCCTTAGCAGACCCCTAAATGGCACTGCCACAACAACATACAGGCTCTCTAATTCTGACATACAGCTCTGCTCTACTCTACATACTGGCTCCACTTTGTGGATGTCTACAACTTGAATCCCTCTTCTGAACTCCAAACCTGTGTCCAGCTATCCTGGTTGATACTGCCACTCAGATGTCTTTGGAGTATCACAAATTTAACACTGCCAAAACCTAACTCCTGATATTAGTCCCATCACCAACTTGTTCACTATCTCAACTCAGGATTTTTCCATCCTTACACCTTCTCAGGCCAAAAAATGTAGGGTCATCCCTGACTCCTCCCCTTCTTTCTCTCACCCTCCACATCAGAAAATCACTCCCTCCTTTGCTCCAAACCTTCCATAGCTCCCACTACTCTCAGAATAGAAATCTAGCTCCAAGGCTGCCATTCCAAAGTTGAATCCTGTCCCCTGCTCTCTGATCACACCAGACATATGGAAACTTGAGGTTTCCCGAATACTCCCAGTGCAGTCTCAAGTGATGCATTTGTACATGGTGATTCCTGTGCCTGGGACACTGTTCCATACTTCATCCCATTGCTTACCAGAAATGGAAACCCTTCTATATAATTTGAGAATAGAAGTCAGGGTTCAAGACCTTTGGTGACACTCAAACACAATGGCAGGTAGATAGTAGGTTGAGTCCCAAGACACTGCCATTCACCATACTGGGTTGCCAAGATCATGAGGGTGGGGGTAAGTTGTACGAGGACTAGCACACTCTGGAGTCACCTATACAGGATCATAAGCGCTTCTGCAACCACAGCAACCGTGCAGGAAGAGGGAACCAAGAGTGATAGGTTACAACAGTCCTGCTCTTTGGCAAGGATGATTTCTGATCATCTAACCTCAGTGGCTCACACTTCAGTGCTGTCTCGTATCAGCTGTGACCATGAACAAAGATGTATCTCAATGTCCTCATCTGCAAAAGCAACGATAATAGTGGTACCCATCTAATAGGACTGCTATTTCTAATAGACATGTTAATACACATCAAATACTTTTGATTTAGCTCTTACTGTCCATGAACTTAACACTTTGCAAATGTTTTTGGTGAAAATGAAGTGACAGGTTTTTGAAATTCTGAGTATGCTTTTAAAGCTTTTAAGAAAATTTGACATTTAAGACTGTCTATTGTAACCAAATGCCTAGAGGCAAGCACTTCAATTATTAAGCATGAACATAAATCTGATTTATCTTATCTACGTATTTTTAATTTTTAACTGCCTGCCTGCTTATGTCAAGTGTTCACAAGTCCTTTCACCAAACCAGCCTCCTCTTAAAGTGAGCCTACTGGTGGCCCTTCATCAGAGATGTATATCTCTCCTCACCTGAGGAACTGGGGAACTGATGTACTGGCACCCTATACTGGTCTGAGGCTCTTCCACTAGTCTGGCTGACTTTTCCTCTGCTCCACAGGCAGCGCCTATGGGGGCAAGCAGAGTACACAATGTGGCAAATCTACAGCACCACACACAACATGCTCTCCAACCCAGGAGAGGCTCCTAATACCCTATAGCCCTCTCCTCCTGCTGACATCTGCTAGAACCCTTTCATATGCCAAGTTCACTCCTTTCTGGAGGTAATCTCTGGGGTATTCACCCCTTCTCCCCTGTCCTTCAATCTCTCACCTTGGGAACCATATAATGTCCTTAATATTCTTCCCTTAAATCTGCATGTCCAACTGCCCATGTGACATCTCTACTGTGAGACACCTCAGATTTACCATGTCCAAAATCCAACTCCTGATCCTCCTTTAGGGTGCTCCCTGCTCCAACTTACAATTTCCATTCTTTCAGGTGGTCGAGGGAGTGGAGGGCTGTTTTTGGAATAGCTTTTCATTCTTTACTTTCACTCACAGCGGTAAATGACACAATCAAATCTTGTTAGTTCTATCTGCACAATTACTCCAGAATTTAATGAGTTCTCCATCCGCAAGCCCTCCTGCCACTGATCTGCTACAGCCACCACACCACCATACTCATGGAGTCCGTTGACTCCTCCCCAGTCTCCTTGACTCCACCTTCATCATCCCCACCTCACCCAAGTCCGTTTTCCCCGAGCAAACGTTGAGATACTTTTAAAACCCTTAATTAGATCCT